GGAGCAGGCATTGTAGCAGTTTGCCAAGCCTTGAGAAGTCTGGAGTCATACCTCGGAACAAGATCTTTATACTTGTATATGAACGGGAAAGTATCTTCATCAAAGATGACATGTCTCGAGATATAGACCTTTCCAGTGGGAGGATATAAACACCTATATCCATTGTATTGATTACTGTAACCAACAAAAACACATTGAAGAGATTTAGGTTCCAATTTATGATCTTGTAAAGGTCGAAGACATGGATAACAAGCCGTTCCAAGGACTCTGAGAAACTCATATTCCGGTTTAGACTGCATTAGCTTCTCAAAAGGAATTTGATTATTAAGAGCGATTGATAATATACACAGCAGTAGAGAATGCTTCAACCCATAAGTGAAGGGGGAGATGACTCTGGAACATCATTGAAAGACCAAGTTCCACACAATGTCTGTGTCTTCGTTCAGCTAGTCCATTCTGAGCTAGTGTATAAGGACAGGAGATACGATGCTGAATCCCATTATCAGCCAGAAACTTCTTCATAAGGTGATTAACAAACTCACCACCACCATCTGACTGAAACTCTTTGATCCGGGAGTTGAATTGATTCTCAACAAGTTTCTTAAATGCAGTGAACACTGAATAAAACTCATCTTTATTATGCAGTGGATAAAGCCACGAGAATCTTGTACAATCATCCACAAAGATAGCATAAAAACGAAAACTCTGACTGGTAACAATAGGAGACGGCCCCCAAAGGTCACAGTGTATCCTATGGAAAGGTTAAGAAACATGTGATTGAGAATCAAAAAACATTAACCTACTACTCTTCCCCATCTGGCATGGCTCACAAATGGGGTTATGTCTGCTCCTATTCATGACAATATCCTTGCTCAATTCAAGTTGTTGAAAAAACTTTGAAGTTAGCATGACCAAGTCGAAGATGCCAAACCCATTCAGAAGCTGTTGTTTGACGATTTGAGAGGTACACTTCAACCTTAGAGCTCTTCAACTTGTATAGTCCATTACCTCGATGACCCCTTACCACCACTTTTTACTTAAGGAGATCAATAAGATATACATGCTTAGCATCAAAATATACTCCACACGGATAATCATCACAGAACTTAGAAACAGACAGTGATGATTTTTTAATGTCTGGGCAAACGAGTACTTCATTGAGAGAAAATGTACCTGCAGAGGAGCCAATGGTGGAAGAGCCAACATGAGTGATGGGCAAGTAAGCTCCATCTCCTACCATAACAGCATCCGAACCAGAGTAAGGATGAACACCTTGAAGGTTGTTGGTAGAGGAGGTAACATGAGTCGTGGCACCAGAGTCTGGAATCCATTCTTTGTTATCATCCGACTGAAGTTAAGATGTGAAAGCTTGTGCTTGATAGTTGTTATCAAAGCGGTTATAGCACTTAAGAGCGGTATGACCAACACGACCACAAATCTGACAGGTGGGTCTGGTTCCTTGAGGATTGTTAGTAGTCTGATGTTGACGAAAACCACGACCCCGGATTGAGTAACCACCACGACCACGCGAAGAGCCAAACTTACCTCTGCCTCTGTATTTAGGATTATAGCCACCTCTGTAAGCTCCATTTTGAGCTGCAAAAGCCATATGAGGATTAACAGTAGAGGAATCTTCATATGACTTGAGACGAGAATCAAAACCTTCAACTTCAGAAACCTCATCTTGGAATGTTGGGGCAGGAAACTTAGCCAAGGAGCTTTGAATCACGGTTGTGATAGGATCATACTCTCGACCAAGACCATTCAGAAAGCCAATAATCTTCATAGATTCATCAACTGGTTTACCGATGGCACTAAGAGAATCACAAATCGACTTAAACTCTCTGCCATAGACTGCTAAAGTCTTGTCCTTTTTCGCCAAAAGCTGAAGACTGCGACGAAGGGAGAACTCTCTTGAGAGAGAACTCTTGTTGAAGTTGTTGGCAAAGATACCCATACATCACGAGACGTTAACAGCGTGTGAACTGACCCCAAGACCTCTTCAGACAATGTACCAAAGATCCATGACCTAACCAGTTGGTTCGTACAAAACAAGAACTCGTAGTCTGGGTTTTGTTCTTCAACCTCCTGTGTCCCTCTTGTCACCATACGCATCTGAGGAGGAGCCGTGACATCACCATTGACAAACCCAAGAAGCTTCTGACTAGATAGCAAAGATTCAAACCGAGTCTTCTAGAGCAAGTAATTTGTGTCATTAAGCTTCAAAGTGACTGAGCTAATAACGTGAATCTTGCTCGGGTAGGGATATGGATTCACAAGATCCACCATTAAACACCTGTTAAGGTTAGACGAGCTCTGATACCATATGAATGTTTAAAGAGAAAGACAGATTTGACTGAATACTTCTGTAATATTATTGATGATGAACAAGAGGTTTACAACACTGTATAAATAGCATAAGGAAGGATCTAGATAAGCATGACTAGACCAACTGGACAAAGAGATAAGATTAGCCAGCACATAAAATTAGGAGAGGGATGAATCGGTTCATCGTACAACTCTCCTCTGCTTTGCAATCCGACAAAGATGAAGATGACTGTTGAAGACATAACATGATGGGCTTCTCCTGGGCCTTCGTCTTTAACTCATGGGCCTTACTCACAGAAGAAGCAGTTGGGACTGGAGATGCTGCGTGTTGCCGTCGAAGTTGAAGTCAACGGATCTTGTTCTCCGTCGATGTTTGTAATTATATATATATATATATATATATATATATATATATATATATATATATATATATATATATATATATATATATATATATAATTTTATTAGTGTTATAAGTGTAAATTGACATGTAATGTGTCATAGATTGAAAGAGGTTGTAAGAGAATACTTTTAGAGGGTTATCGAGGATCTTTAATGGATTTTTAAGCTCACTGATTTAGTTAAATCAAAAATAAATATAAACCTTCTTACTTTAGTTAGGCTGTGACTGTATGGTAATATTAGAGTAAAATATTAGAGGAAAGTTAATTTTCAGCTCAGTTACGCCAAAATAAAACTAATCAGGATAAAAGAACTTTAATTGAGATAGAGTAAACAATTTTGTCTTTTAGCGAATCTGTAGAGTAATATATACCTCTCTTTTTTATACGAGTAAAAGTTTACTGTCATTCCCTCCATTTCTTTTCCACCCATTCCTTCTAAATTTAATTACTCCAAGTTACGTCAAGTTTACCGATCACACTCTGCGAAAGGATCCAAGCCGACGACAGATGAGGACTCTGTCGGTCCACTCGACGTCTCCTCCGTCTTCTCCGTCTTAAGTCCCTCTCCTCATTCTTAGCAATCGGTTCGTAACAACTAAGAGATTTGAAAACAGCGTCCAAATGAGAAATCAATTAGGGCTCTTTCTTGTTCTTGATATGATGACTCTATTGGTGAATTGGTTCTCGAGAGTTTTTCAAATTATTGAATATAGGAACTTGCTTTTCTAATTATACAGTGTTTTTTTTATTATTGTTCTTGTTCAATCATCCATGGTTCGGACTTTTTGTAAAGTCCCTAACTTTAGAGCTCATGTGTATAAATGTATCTTCTTTGTATTCCAGAATGTGTGAAGCGTTGCTGATAACAAGTAAATGGCTCGTTTCAAAAACGTAAGTGGAAACACGTCTCTATCGAGTTTCTTCTCCTGCAGCTTTTTTTCTTTAAAGCTTTTTATGTTGGACTTAGCAATCTGTTTCTTTACTTCTTGTTCCTTCATTTGCATCTGTGTGGATAATATCTTCAAAACTGAACTCTTGTGTATCTTTGAGTTTCTGTTTTATGGACAACGGTTAAATACATTTTTGATGTGCAGAGCCTTTAAAGTCTCTGACTTTTGGTTCATTAATAAGTATGAAAGTAAATGCTGAAGAGGGTTTAGTGGTTGGTAAGGAGAACCCAAGCAACGTATGAAGCTGTGGTTGCAGAACCCAAGCTCTTCATAGCTATGTTGGAAAGGCTTCATGCTCAATGGGAACTAAATTCATGTGAGTTTCTTTTGCTTCCCTTGTGACTCTGATAATAAACTCATGCCTTAGCCAGAACCAGGGAGTCAAACCGAGAAGGCTCCACCATCAGCAGTGCTGAAGCTAGGGCCTCAACTATCTCTTGTTAATTTCTGTAACTACGTGATGTTGCAGAGTTTGGAAGATGGGGTGGTTAATGAGACTGTTTTGATCATTTGGTAAACTGCAGACCGAGTTCAAGAGAATCGTGTCACCACTGAAGTACCAGACGAGGTGTGTTGCTGCCTTCCCTGATCTACAAGGATTTTTGGTATGTCTCCTTTTATAACTTTTCTGTTGTGTTTTGGTTAGTGCAATGGTACATGAATCTAGGTTGTTTGCTGATGCTAACATTGCTCTCACGCATTTTGTATATACAAATGTTGTCCTTTTCAAGCTTGAAAAGTTTTTAGTTGGTTCTCTATTTTATATCAGTGACAATTTTTTTTAAAGAAAAAATCCTTAATTTAGAAACTACCAATGGAGCACAAAAAATAAGTGTTTCTTAACTAAGTTCTTAATTAATATTTACTATTAAAAAAGTAATTAAGAAACTCAAATGGGGTTATAAGGATAATCATGCTCTTCACATAACAGATTAAAGTCCTTATCCAGATGGCTCATGGATGGGGAAAAGAACAACCCCTTATTAATACACTTTTTTTTTGTAAAGAGAAATCTTCATTATTGTTATTGTAGTACTTTGTGAGATAAATAAAGCATATTAACGTGTTATTCTCTATATCAGACTAGCACTTTGGAGAGATGTTTGAATCTTTGAGAAATCAAAATCGATGAAGAGCTGTAATTTCAAGTTTGTGGTTGTTGCTTAGAAGATGAAAAACTACATTAAACGGGACAAATACTTTCGTTATAGTATTGGAAAACATTACCTCTTATTCAGACAACAATACGAACAACGTCATGCGATAAGTAAAACAGAAAGTCTTCTAGGTTAGTGAACTCGTCATGCGTTTTATAATATCAGTTTCTTGTATCGAAGAAGACACGAACAACGTCCATAATCTGAGCTCTGCAAACTGGGCATTTCCCTCCACTCCAGTGTAGTTCATTGGCACATTTCAAGCACGTGCACATATGTCCGCACCTGTACAAAACCGCCTCGACCTGCGTTTCGTCGCAGACGCAGCATTTGCGTTTCATTGGGTTTTCTCGGTGAACCGACTGTTGCAAGCTGGCGTTAGCATCCAAACACGTTTTGAGAGAATCTCGTAGTAACGACATCTCTTGTTGAAGTTGTTGGATCTGTGATCTCATATCGCTTATCAGCTCCATTTCCTGAAAACGTTTTTAAGCGGTTCAAAAGTTTTTACTACTAGTATGAATGCGGTTGCGAATTTCTGTGGGAATAAAAATAAATAGAAAGACTTACAGGTGAAGGAGGATTGTGAACAGACAATACAGGAGTGGAAGTTACTTCAGTGTCTTGACAACTCCATGATCCTGTAGGAGACGATGCAAAGATCGGTGAAGAAGACGATCTGCTTGAGTCATCATCTCTATCGTCTTGCTCTTCACATTCCGTTAATGGCTCTTCTTCTGTTTCCTCCACAATGTCATTTCTATGTTCTTCCTCTTCTTCTTCTTGCAATTCCCATGTTTCAGAATGCTTTTTCGAATGTGTCTGCACACGGGATATCATGAGCCTATCGATCTGATCTCGTAGCCCGCTCTCAAGAAAGTCTGTCACCGTTCTTCTGCAATACGAAGAAAATATATCTTCTTAGTCAATGATTTAACAAAATAAGAAAAGGGATTTGTAGAATTGATGTTGCTTACCGCTCAAGGAGTCTACGTATGTCCTCTTTCTCAGACCGAGTGTTCATTACTTCTAGGTACCGCGATTTCCTAAGTTCCTCCCAGTAACTTCTCGGCCGAGATATTTCGGTAAGCCAGTCATTGTTAGTTTCTCCGTAGTAGTAAGATTGCTCATCTTCATATTCTTCTTCTTCGTCTTCCCATCCATTTAAGTAAGACGTTTCTTGTTGCTCAAGGCACTGATTAATCTCAATACTCTCATGAACTGTTTGAGTTTCTTGATTTACGAAGGCGGGGCTTGTCTTCTCTCCTTCTTTCTTTTCAGAATCGTCGTCATAGCAAACTTCTTCCACTTCTACTGTTGCTTGCAGCTGGAGGCAACTCATTTTTGATCCAACTGTTGTTCTATTTATAGTTTCTTCTTCCTTACGCAACGTTGCTTTCTCTATCTTGGGTTGTTTAGGGAGACTCAACCGCTCTTTGAAAAAGGCCTCTAGAGTATTACTGGTTACTTTGGTTTCTTCTGCGGTTTTCTTATTAATAAGATGATTATCCTCCTCCTTGTTTTGATCAGCAAATCTCTCCCTGCGTTGCGATTCAAAGATTGACGACAATCAGAAGAATTATTTGCTGAGAATTAAAGTCAAGAACATAGATTCTGAAAATAAAAACCTTAAATGCAAAACTGCGGAGCCTGATCCGATACGGTTTAGTCCAGTTGATTTTGGGTTAGAGCGGTTTTTATCTTGAACCGCTTGACAGCGTTTGAGATTCCTTAGCCTTAGCATTGACTGGTGTTTAAAAATGTCACATATATATGAGATGACATTGTAACAAGAAAATAAAAGTATTGGCGTGGATTATATAAAAAAAGGGCTCAAATAGTGAAAACATGTATTCACCTGGAGGCGGCCTCGTTGAGTAAACCTAGAAACGGCGTTGCGTTGAAGAAGCGAATCCAATTCGCGGTGGCGATCGCGTTCCATTTGCATAAGCAGATCTGTAAACGCTTGCCGTCCACGGAGTCTCGGTGTTGTCACCACCGGAAAACTGCTTTTCTCCGACGATGACCAAGACGAAATACAAGGTCTTGGCGTTCTGATAGTCGAGAGTCCACCACCGCCGGTGACTAGCTTCTCTTCCTTGCTGAGCCTCCGAATCAAGTCAGCTACTCGACATGGATCCGAAACCGAACCCTGTGGTCGAGATTCAGTCTCCACATCACTAATCTCAGCTTCAGAATCTACAGGTGGAGGTTCTGAAAAACGGGAATCTTGAACACTGACTCCTGAATCGCTCCGGCTACTATTAACCGGCGATTGGTTATGACTAGGCGAATTCCCACCGCTGGATCGGTTCAGCCTCGCCTCCCATATCTGTACAAGAGAAGACGCTCCGTTTCTGTTCGCTTCATCAGATTTCTCCTTCACCGAAGATGCAAGAACACGCGATTTTAGAACAATTGGTTTCTCTGTTGACCTAGCGAGACCATTGTTGTTATCATTCTTTTTATTAAGAGTCTGGATCCAAGAATCGACCAAGTTCTGTGAATTCTCGTTGGAGACAGGAGATCTGATCTCGTGATAATGTTGATGGTTGTCTTTCACCTGCGCTTTCTTGTAAACGGTGGGGGTTTGATTACGATCTCTAAGGATAAAACCGAATCTTTGGGATGGAGGTGGAATCTCCACCTGAGAAGACGCCATTTGTAACGAATCGACGAGCACAATATCAAATACTCATTTGAGTTTTTTCTTTAATTGATGGGAGGAGTTTACCGAACAGCTCTGTTTCTTTTCTATTTCTCCACAATAAGTAATAAGGACGAGGAAATCGTTTTGAATTAGTGAAGATACTAAATTTTCTCGTAAGAAAACAGAGAAAAGAAACAGAAGAACAGAACAAGAAGCGGTGGAGAAACGATGAAGAAGGAAGAAACAAAACCAATGAAACAGTAATGTGCTTATCTGTTTAGTAGTAAGACTTTAATTTGTTTTTTCCTTAATTGTTTCCACCCCTAATATGTTGTGAGTCCTAAAAACGCTCTGTTTTGTCCCTTAAACTTCGGAACGTGTTTGTAAGATAAGTTAATAAGAAATGAGGTGTAAAAACAGAGGATTATAGATGTTGAGGTTACCAAGAAAGAAAAGCTTCCGTGGCCAAAAGTGAAATTGGTAAGAATTTAAAAAGCTATAGTTTCGGTTTCCAACTACTCCCTCTGTTTCATTATAAGTGTCACTCTACAGCTGTGCACACGGATTAAGAAAACAATTAATTTTACATATTTTCCATATAAAAACACAGTTACCCATACACCTAACCATATTTTAACCAATAGAAAAACAAATTACATAATAAAAGTAATAAATTTTGTATTGAAAATCGAAAACGACACTTATTTTATAACGCAAAAAATTCTCTATAACGACACTTAATATGAAACGGAGGGAGTATAAATAAATGGTGATTGTACAAAGATGTCGCGCTTTTTGGTGAACGCATTTAATTGTTAATAATTAAATTATTAGTAATTGTTTGGGTGTTGAGGCTCCTTAATGCGCTAGTCAAAATGAGCCGTTGAGTATTTAAGCGTTGGCGAGTGGGAACCATGCATATTTCTTCCACGTCTATATTTAAATTACTATTGTTTTCCAAAAGTTTATTTTTTTGCAAAATGGCTTTCAAAATAAAAAATAAAACAAAAAATATGTACAAGCCGGTGAAGTATAAATTTAAAACCCAACAGTGATATCTTTTATATTATAAAACAGAAGTCAGTTGACAATTCTATGAATGACATGTGTTCTTTATAAATATTATTGTGTTTTTTTCAAAAATGTTGTTAATGTTAATTTCTTTTAAAACAATTAAATTATTAAAAAGATATTTCTAGCCAACCGTCTCCCAGTGTCTCTACTGTCCCACTATCTCCACTTCCTATGACCTTTAAAAGGTGCTGTTATATTTAACTGAAATCATAATTTTACCTTTGAAAAATTGAAAAGAAAACAACTGTTTGTTTCATGTAAAACTCAGAGAACTCTCAAAACAAATGTATTTATCTAAAGTAAAAACTTTATATCTCGCAAACACATGTACTCACTGGATATAGACATCAAACAAGATCACCAACTCCTCAAGGTCTAACAGTCATGGCGAACAAATCTCTAACATTCCTCCTATTAACGCTTGCCAATTGTTTTCATCCCAAATGTGTTCAAGTTCTTCATCAGAAACAGTTGTTAACTATTAAAGGTATGTATCTCTATATATATATACTCATTCAAATGGTAACCAGTGGCCCTCTTATAATTTTAGTGTTATGAATTAAAGGTCGTCAACACCAAGGAGATACAACCATACGAGATAGTTATTTTTTATTTGTTAAAATGTTTATTTTTAACTTATTTTGAAAACATGATTTAAACTTATTTTGAAAACATGATTTAAAGAACAATTTTGAAAACATGATTATTTTTAACTTATTTTGAAAACATGATTTAAAGAACAATTTTAACTTATTTTGAAAACATGATTTAAAGAACAATTTTAACTTTTATGGTTTTATTCATTTGGTGATTCTGACAAGCTTCATTTGTTGTATAGGAAAAAAGACAGACAATTTTATCCAATGTACACACGAACAGTAACGACCATCACAAAAAAACATGTTACGTTCACATACAATAAAAAAGTATTTTTTTACATTGATTTCTATTTATATTCGACTTTTTTTTACATTTGGTATCCATTACATGGTTTTATTAAAATATGTGTTAATGTAAATACATTATCATCGTTTTGATGTAAATGTAGGAGATTATATTTTTCTTTTTCGGTTCTCAACAAGTATTATAATATCCTTTTTGTGAAAAACTTCAGGATAGCTTATACTCCAGGATATAGAAGTTTTAATGTATCAAACCAAAACCTTATTTAAAGTAAAACGAACCTGTTGATCTTTAATCACACTAAGTCGAATGTTTTCATTGGTTCATGTTTCACGTAGTTTTGATCTATTTGTGGGTTTTTTATATAGATTTATATTTAATATAATGTTTTTTATTTTTAATTTAATAATTATTTTATCCCTGCTATATTCATATTTAATATAATGCTTTTATTTTCAATTTGATAATTATTTTACCCCTGCATAGCAGGGGCCATAATACTAGTTGATGATAAAAAAACTTTCTAAACCATAAGCCCAAAATCCAATAAAAAAGAAAACAAGAGATGAATTTTGATATTTTTCAATAGTGAAGAATTTTGATCGACGATCATAATAGTAGAGGAGCTAATTGGCCCTTCAAACAAGATGGATTCATGACTACAACATGGTTGAAGATAGATGCGGATTTGTTTTCCTGAAGTTTTGAGTTTTGTTTCTTATTTTGGAGATCAATAAACCGAAATAAAAGGTCAGTTGATCGGAAGACGTTGGAGTGCAAGACATGTGTTTCTCTCACTCCAGACCCAGTAAATAATCGATTGCCAAGCAAGCAAAGTGAGAAGACTAAGTGGCCTTGATGATCTTTGAGTCGGTAATCTAGTCATCTGCACAAGTGAGTCCGACCATTGGAAGTTAGGACCAAAGGGCATTTCGAGCGCTACTTGTCCACAAGTTATAGGAAAAATCACACTCAAAATACAGGTGACTATCGGATTCAGGGTGAATATTTTAACTCAAGCAACAAGAGGGAGTTTAAAGTCTCTAGCGGATGAGTTGGTCCCTAGTTGGGCATCCATCCAAGGTGACTAACCAGGTATGGGAATTCTGCGAGGAATACCATATGAGGGCCACAACTCTTTCACCCAATCCACTTACACAAACGATCCTCGAAGGTAAGTATAAACTTCACATGAAGATCATTTCTTTGAATCCTTTCCTGCAACATTCTTTCAAAATAGTATGGGCCAGTCGTTAGATTAATCGTAGTTATGTGGTCTGAAGTTGTAATTGTTGTTATGATCTCGCAGGAGTGAGACACCAAAAGTCATTCCTAAATAAGGAAGCCATTGTTGCTTGATGAGGGATTCCTAGTCTGAAAGTGTTGGAGTTGAGCACAATTCCTGAATTCCCCAGTGGTGACAAGTTATCATGCCAAAATCGAGGACATAATCCATTCTCCAGGAATAGTTTGATGAAGGGGAAGACAATGTCTTTTAGTTTGAGAAATTTGTTGGCAAGCCAAGAGAAGGAGGCTTTTGGTTTCGTGGTCTAGTAGTTGTGGATTGAACCCTTCAAGATGACTTTTAAGAACCAAGCCACCAAACTGAAACAAGATCGAAAGAAGAACAGTTACACTAGTTTCAATCAAGAAGCTTTGTTCCAAATTTGAAGGTTCTTTACACCTAGTCTTCCTTGTTATTTACTTAAAACCAGTTTTCCTATGTTACTCTTGCTATGTTCTGACTTTCAATGTCATATTTCCACATGAAAACAATGAAAAGCAAGTTGATCCTAGTTATACAGTCTTTGGGAGAATGAAAGTTGAGCACCAAAAGGTGGTAATCCCTGCTATAACTATTTTGATTAGGAATAGTCTGCCAACATATGAGAGGGACTTGATTAACCAACATGACAATCTCTTTTTGATTCGATGAATCATGGATTCACAACTGACTAAGTTCAACTTTCTCGAGTTTAAAGAGACATCAAGATAGCATACAAGGAGGGTTCCACAAGCCATACCTGTAGAAGCTTGTATAGTGTTGATCTCTTGGTCTATCATTCCAGAGGCGAAGAAGCTTGTCTTTTGCATAATGATGGAGACATGACCTGTTTTCAAAATCTGTTAGCACTTGCAGGACCTGTTGGACAGAATCTAGCAAGCCATCAATAAAAATTAGAAGATCCTCAGTAAATGAGAGGTGAGTCATCTTCATTACTTTGCGGTTGGCATGATATTTTATCTTTTCTTGAGCTGCTGCAGAGTTAAACATAAATGATAAACAATTCATAACAATGACAAAAAAAATTAAGGAGATATGAGATCTCTTTATCTCAATCCTCTTTTCCCTTTAAAATACATGTGTACCATTGTAACCAACCATAAATCTTGTTTTGCAGATGCAAGCTTTAAGTAAGGAGAAGAAAAGAAGAATTTCCATGAGAAAGTTTTAAAAGCCTTAGTGATATCCACTTTAATGGTAATTTTTGGAGTTTCTTTATTCTTGGGAGAACCATGAACTAAATCACTAGCTAAGATAGTATTCTCCACCAGTAGACGGTCTTTTACAAATGCGGTTTGATAGAGCAAAATTAAGTCTTGTAAAATAGACTTGATCCGAGCAACTAGCAGCTTGGAGACCACTTTGTAGATAATGTTTAGACATGAAATATTGCAACTTATTTTACTAATAATTTTGATATAGCTTCATTGACGTGACTAGTTAATGAGCCTATTACCAAGATTGAACCAGGATAAATCGATCAGTAAGGTTTATTAAGCCCATATATGTTTCTACAAAGAAAATTGTTAACTTCAAAATCAGACGTTTATTTTGCAGATTTACTCAATAAAAAGTCACTAGTCACTAATTCAAGGTTTGAAGATATGCATGTGTGTTTTTATTTTTAGCATGTGAAATTATTATTGGACAACGCTCAATATAAGAAAACAAAAAAGTATAACAGAGGATACAGTCTATACATTACAACTTAAGCTGAATGCCAAAGAGAAAAGTCAAAAAGAATGAATCG